TTCGACTGCCCGTTTGCTGACCTCAGCATTTCTTCCACCTCTGCTGCTTCTGTCCAGGGTCCTGATAAACTTCCTGCCATATTAAACTCCTAATTTGCACTGCGTCCTCCTCACCAGGAGCTGCGGTGGCTCAAGGGGTTAAGACGCTGAACTGCAGGCTGTGGAAGGTCGGTAGTGCAGCAGTTCGAGACCCGGGTGCCGCAAGACGGAGTGAGCTCCCGTCTCTAGTTCCAGCTCCTGCCAACCTTGCAGTTCGAAAGCAAGAAACCACAAGTAGATAAATAGGCACCACTTTGGTGGGAAGGTAACGGCGTTCCGTGCGCCTTGGTGTTTAGTCATGCTGGCCACATGACCACCGAAACGTCTCCGGACAGCGCTGGCTCTTCGGCTTTGAAACGGAGATGAGCACCACAACTCTAGAGTCGGATTCGACTGGCTTTCGAGCAAGGGAACCTTGACCTCCTCACCACCCCTGCCTCTGAATTCTCACACTGGCAGGACTTGAGGTACTCTCCACCGTTTTGCCCTCACGGTTGGGCAGCTGTTCCTCTATTGGCCTTATCCTTGAAAAGAGCTCCTTGACAGAGGGGGGAAAATACTGATGAAATCAACAAAGCCATTGATGGAGTACGGTAAATTGTGTAACAATAGAGAAGACCAGCATTTGCTCAGGGAAGAGGAGGAGGAGGAGGAGAAGAAGTGGATTTATCCCCTGCCCTTCACTCAGTGGCTTACAATCTTCTTCCCTTCCTCTCCCCACAACAGACACCCTGTGAGGTAGGTGGGGCTGAGAGACCTCTAAGATAATTGCTCTTGAGAGAACAGCTCTGAGAGAACTGTGACTGGCCCAAGGTCACTCAGCTGGCTGCATGTTGAGGAGTGGGGAATCAAACCCTGTTCTCCAGATTAGAGTCTGCCACTCTTAACCACTACACCACACTGGCTCTCAAACTGACTTTTGTGACATGAAATCTGAAGGTGTATGATACATGACAGAACTCTCGGGCAAATCTACAATGTAAACATTTGGATTTCTGAAATAGCAATACCTATGGAGTTCCTTGCATACTGAATACCTTTAGATATCTCACTGCATCAGTCTTTTGTTACAAAATCAACTGGTGGCCTTAGTTTTTAAGCAAGAAGGGAACTATTAACAATTTACTACACAATGTGTTCTTTGTATATGTGGATATAACTAATGGGGCTTGATCTCGTGTTATATTATTCTAATAAAAATAATTTCCACGTAAAGCTTGCGATGTGTTTGAATATCAAACATAATTTATTTTCCCTAATCAAATATTGCATTCAGGCATTTGTTGTTATTGGGACATGACATTAACAAGGGGTACTTAAAAAAAAAATTATTTACTGAACTCCAAGAGTTGTACCTCTGATTCTTTTTAAACTGGACCATACATCACAGGCAATCCAATTCACATTGCATTGGGAAGACCCTAGTTAGTCTCAGTCAACTGGCTTAAATCCAATGCTTGGGATAGCAGGAGTGACCTAGAAACTTCCTCTGGCAAGAGAAAAGTGGGTCTCTTCCTTTGGATGGGGGATTGCATATATTTTGCCTGGGAAACTAAGAGGAAACTAGGCTAAACGGGATAGACTAGGTACACTGTATTGAAGTGTATCTTTGAATATACTCTTTTCCATTCTCGTTTGTGGCCACAACCTTGTGGAACAGGCCACCTGTAGAGGCCAGGAAAGTTCCTGCACTTCTGTCATTCCGCAAATTATTATTTTTTTAAACTGTTCAGCAAGGTAAAGGGAAAAGGACTGTAGTCTATGCCACTGTATATAGGATGTATTATCTATTTGTTGTATATAGTATCCTGCTGTTATTGCATTGATCTACTTTTGTAATTCCCTTTTCTGCATTGCTTAACATATCATGTCTGATATGTTCTTAAAGTAAAGGTAAAGGTTTCCCTTGCTCGAAAGCTAGTCAAATCTGACTCTGGGAGGGAGGCGGTGCTCATCTCCGTTTCCACGCCGAAGAGCCAGCGCTGTCCGAAGAGGTTTCCGTGGTCATGTGGCCGGCATGACTAAACGCCAAGGTGCGTGGAATGCTATTACCTTCCCACAGAAGCGGCACCTATTTATCTACTTGCAATTTCTTGCTTTCAAAGTGCTAGGTTGGCAGGAGCTGGGGCCAGAGATGGGAGCTCACTCCGTGACACGGCACTAGGGTCTCTTGAACTGCCGAGCTACAGACCTTCTGGTCTGCAGTTTCAGCAACATACCCTCTGAGTCCTACTGCACTGTTTACATGCTGTAATCTGCCTTCAGTCTCAGTGAGGAAGGCAGGTAAATGTGAAAACAAGCACCTATGCACAGAAGAATACCATTTCAAGTAGATAGCAAGTTGAACTATTCTACCTGACGTAAATAGCCAGCTTGCATCCTGAACTGTTGAAGTCTAAGAAAGATTTGCCACTACTGGCCATCACATTCAAGAATAAAATACTGCATTCAGCCACAAAGACCTGTGCAGAATGCTTTGTATCCTACATTCTGCATAGATGCTAGTATTCCTTTTCCTTCAAACTCCTTGCCACAAACCAACTTCCCAAATCTTTTTGTTTTTCCATTTCTACCAAATCACGTGCCAAGCCACATTGACTGATGTTTGAGGGAGGCGTGCCGGATAGCTGGCAGATCCTGTGTCCTCCACTAAGCTGTGCAGAGAGTTAGTCACATGCTTGAGTGCTTAGCTGGGTAAGAGCCAAAATGACTCAACATCTTGCAAGAACAAACTTTCAACCCCCCCCCCCCCTAATGCTACATAATGTTCTGTGCAAATCTTGTTTCCCAATCCCTTGTAAGGCGAGGAAAATAATTTTGGGGAAATATTTTTCAGGGGTCAAGAACAAAAGGCCAGTTATACAAGGTAAAGGTAAAGGTTCCCTTGCTCGAAAGCCAGTCGAATCCGACTCTAGGGTTGCGGTGCTCATCTCCATTTCAAAGCCGAAGAGCCAGAGCTGTCCAAAGACGTTTCCGTGGTCATGGGGCCGGCATGACTAAACACCAAGGCGCACGGAACGCTGTTACCTTCCCACCGAAGTGGTACCTATTTAGCCACTTGCAATTTCTTGCTTTCGAACGGCTAGGTTGGCAGGAGCTGGAACTAGAGACGGGAGCTCACTCCGTCATGCGGCAACTCAGGTCTCGGACTGCTAAACTACTGACCTTCCACAGCCTGCAGTTTGGCGTCTTAACCATCTGAGCCACCGCAGCTCCTCAGTTATACAAAGCGTTTCACAATACCATCCTAAGACCACTGACTCCTGTAGATGTAGAGTTCTTCTCAGAATGGCATGGTTAGGACACTAACCCCTGGGTTTACTTCAACTTCATTTTATTTTACATTTTCTGCCAGTGTTTGTCAGCCAAGGAGACTCCAAATTCAAAATATGTTTTTTTAAAAACCATGCATCTTCAAGAGAGAATCTGCAGTTGATGTGAGCAGAAAGTGAGTCCAGATCACAGACATTTGCCTCACTTCTCTTGGACTGTAGAATTCGAAATCATATCAACAATAGCAGCTTACCTGCAATAAGCAAGGTCGGGCAGTGATCTGCCTGCCACCCTAGAGACCACAACAGTGTCACCGTTGTCTTTTGTCTGTGTTCTGCAATTGGCTGCAAGCTGGTAGCGGGCAGGGAGGGGATGAGTCATTGGTCCCTAAGTGCAGAGCACTTCAGTGCTTAGAGAGGCATACTGCTCTAGCTGCCCTGAGACAAAAAGCTGACCAGCTAGATTGTCCCTCCTAAAGGAGAGAGACTGAGAAAAGCCAAAAGGCTAGATTATATTACTTCCCTTTGGGTCAGAGAGATTGGGAATGAGACTGGACTCCCCATGGGAGATTATCCCCACTACCTTCTCTCCCCCTTCCCTGAAAGCCCCCATAGCCTCTCCCCCTTTTCATCCTGCTTCCTTCTCTCCTTCCCACCCACCAACCCTGCAAGGCAGGTTAGGCTGAGAACATATAACTGGCCCAGGGTCACTTAGTGAGCTTCCACAGCACAGTGGCGATTCGAACCTGGGTCCCCCTGACCCCTCCCCCCCCGATCCTAGTCTGAAACTCGAACCACCACACCACACTGGCTTTCGTGGGGTGGCTGCTGTTGAGTGGTAGCAGGCAGCCAAGCCTGGCTGAGGCATGCAAGTCCTATGCCTGCCAGTAATCTGAGAGCGGCTGCTGGCCTGGCCCCAATGAGTCCTCCACTCTGAAAGGCCATAACAGTCCTGGAAAAGGCCCTGCCCATCCCCCCCCCCCATCTTTTACTAACAGAAACCGAGGCTTAAAGACTGGCAATACTGTTGTGATTGAGTAGCAATGCCCACCAAGGGCATTCATTTCTTAAAGCTACTGCTTGTGTTATCCACTGGTTCTTTAAATGTCAGGTTTTCTGGCAAAGCTGGGGCACTTTTTAGGTTTGTGGAATGGATCTGCCTTGTCTGTTCACAGCTCGAGATTTCAGATTTAAGTATCCACAGATCTGGCCACATTGAGAATTGGATCTACTGATGCGCAGAAGGGCATCCATGAATGTGCACTTTTTGTCTTCCCTTTCCATTATCCAGCGACAGCGTTTCTGGATAAATCTCACCAAACTCAAAGGCGTTTACATATAAGTAACCATGCACAGGATTGTGTTGTTAACAGGAGTAGCCCTTCTGAAAAGGTTCAAACATATGAAGGGACGCTCATTGTTACCCCTTCATCCCCTGAGGGAGAAAGCTAGTAAATGTTAACTCCTGTTACCCAAAATGAAAAGGGGGGGGGGAGGCGCGTGATTGGTTGCAAGCTTGCTCGCCTCGCCTCGCCCCCTCCCCTCCCCTCCCCGCCCAAGGCCCCGCCCATTTAAAGAGACCCTCCCAGCGCTCGCTGCAATTTTGTCCTTGCTCCTTCCAGTGTCCGCATCACACGGAGCGCCCAAAGGGAACCGGGGGGGGGGGTGAGGGTGTCAAAGGGCACCTACTTCTTGCAAGGGATGAGCCCCTTCCTCTCCTCCAGGACCCGGAGCCGCTGGTTGGGGCTGTCGTAGGTGACCAGCGCGCGGGTGTTTTTGCCGCTGTTGTGGTCGTACCGCACCGTGCGCCCCTCCCACTGCACCGGGGCCTGGCAGGGGACGGGCTGCTGCGCGCCGGCCGGGGTCCCGCAGCAAGCCAGGTACACGACCCCGCTCCACAGCAGCAGCAGCGACGGCGGGAGGAGGCGGGGCGGAGAGGCGGGGCTGGCTGCGGCGCCTCGGGCCATGCTCCGGCCGGCGGGGCTCGTCCTTGTCCTGGCGAAGAGGGGGAGGGCGCTGGTCGCGCAGGCTTGGCGGCGTCCCTGTCTTCGGGCCGCTCTGGCGAGGCTGGCGGAGGGGGGGGCGGCCCAGGCTGCGCCCAGCCGGGAGGAGAGACCCTGCGCGTCGATGGCAGGCAGGCAGGCAGGCAGGCAGGCGGGGTTTACTGTCCCAACCTTGGTGCCGGCGGAACTGTACCCGGGAAGCCGCCGCATCAAATCGCCCCTCTCGGCGGGGAGCTCAGCATCCGAGGGAAACCCGGGCCGGAAAGGACCCTCGGCTTTCATGGGCCCCCCTTGCCGCGCTTGATTCAGATGGGAAACAAAACCCGCACAGACCCTAGTCTAGAGATCTTGTCAATGGAGAGAGAGGGCATCCCGCCATGTGTGTCCACCCCCGCCCCCGCCCCTGCCCCTTTGAAGAGTGTTCTGTTATTAAACCACACATCAATGCCTTTCAGCCGAACTTGGCTTATCCACTCAGGGGAAGCCGTTCCTGACTTTTGGTCGTTCCTGACTTTTGGTCGTCACACAACCATAACACAATCTCCGCTTCCATAGAGGTAGCCAGGTTTAGTCTGTAGCAGCGAAACAGGAGTCCGGTGGTACCTTAAGAGAATTATCAGCGCTTATTCCAGCATGGGTTTCTTGAGTTAGAACTGGAATAAGCTTTGTTAGTTTCGTTTTTAAAAAGATATCACAGGGCTCCTGTTTTGTTTCGCAAGGGCCCATGCCATCAGCTTCCAGACATACTTGGTTTGGATAATAATAAGCGCTACCCTGATCCTAGCATGTTTGCTGGGCAGCAAATCCTATTTGTGTCCAAATATATATAAATGAAATAGGACTTTAGCTGGCCGCTTATCCTTCTACTTCTTCTATCACAACTGTTGGAAAGTAAAATATTTTGATCAAAAGACCATTTATACTAATTGCATACCATCATGTCGCGCAACTGTTTCATGGCCACCCAAGGATCACATCGTTTTCCAGGCAACAGGCGAGCAGAGTTGGTTTGCCATTGCCTTCCTCTGCATGGCAACTGTAGTCTTCCTTGCTGTTCGGAAAGCCGAAGTTTGGCCAGAGGCACCAAAGTTCTTGTTCAAGAGGGCCTCTTTCGCCTTGTAGTCTTCCTTGTGGTGGCTGACCAACATCTGATGACTGGACTAGTAAAGGCTATTCAGGCTTAAATCCACATAATTTCACCAGAAGTCCCTTGCAAAAAAGCACATGCTGGATCTTGGTGCTAGGCTTTATTTTTTATTTTTTATTTGAAAGGCACAATGAAATGTGCCTTCTGATGGATCTCCTGAAATGCTGCTGCTGCATCATAGTTAGAAAGTCTTTATTTATTTATTTATTTTCCCCCAAAGGGAAGCAAAAATAGATGCCTCCCATTAATGCTCACCTGCCTGTGGTGCACATCAGTCAGCTCCCAATGGAGCTTTGTGGTTGTACGGAACCATCTTTACCTGTTGGTTATGTAGCTACAGAAGTTTTTTCCGTGACTTCCACTGAAAGCTGCCCACTGTGGAGGCAGAGGCTGTGTAATAAGGTCCTCCCTTTGCCCCTGCATCTATCATGCACTGCATACAATGCACATATGTGTACATGTGCACTAGCTTGAATATGCCACTTCCCACGCTGCAATGTCTCACCATTCAATGATCAGCTTGGTGTATATCAGTTATGCTCAGCCTAGTGCTGTGGTGCACACTGATGTGCTTCTTAGAACCCTCTTGCATCTTCCTCCGAACAAAGAAGCAGTCCTGGTTTTCCTCCACCTAACTGCAGCAGGAGGTACCTCCTCCAACATCACTTTCGGGTCTTTAGTTAGTGTCCATTCGGAAGCAGCTGACCCCCGTCAAAGGAAGAGGCTTGGCTTAGGACCACCCAACCTTTTGTAATTGCTCCTTCCCCCTAGGCAGCCATTTTGTGGTTGGTTCCACCTGCCATGGCAAACATTTTGCAGTGGTGCCTGTGAGCCTTTCTTAAAATCCCAGAAGTGCCCACAGACTCAACTGGGAGGGTGTATGCTGTGTGGGCTAACTGTGTGAGGGATTGTTGCGGTGGCAGGTGGGCAGGAGAAGGGCATGCTAGTTGGGGGGGACAGCAGCAATGGGCACCACTGGAAGCCCTGGGAAATGCCACACCTCTGGGTATGCCAGTGCTGGCCCTGAAACCACTGATTTCAGCAATTCTGACTGTGGAGCTGAGAGCTAATTTCTCTTTTCCCCGTGTGCTGCCTGAAACTCTACAGAAATATGTGAATTAGAGGCTCTATTTTTGTTATTTCTAAATTTTTTGCATTAAATAAATAATCATATGGCATCGTGTGTGGAATAGCCAGGAGATCCCGAAGGGTTATTTGGCTGCCGGAAGCTGTAGCTCTATCTTGGCACCACTAGGTGGTGAGCTATGCTTATTTTTATGCTGAGAGTGCTCTGACTTGCCCAAGGTCACCCAGATGGCTTCAAGTGGGGAAGTGGGGAATCGAACCCAGTTCTCCAGATTAGAGTCCACGGCTCTTAAGCACTACACCAAGCTTGCTGTCTGGTTTTGCATTAATAGCAGGAA